AACAGACATTCTTTAATTTATTTACACACACATTTGGAAGCTCTTGCTTAGACAAAACTCTGCAGGCTTCAGGAAAATATATCTGAGTATGCACATCAGTATATGACTGCACATAAATAGCTTGTGCCGGGACTGTCAGCAAGAAAAGAATCTAATATTTTTCCTTCTCTTCAGCATCACTTCTGATATTTACATTCATTAAAAAAGGGACATGCTATATGAAGTGTGATATTTCCCCCCCCTTCCTTTTTTTTCCTTTTTTTGCTTAGACCTTTCTCACACCCCTCATTAGGCTTATCAATAAAACTGTATTTTGTCATAGTGAGCACAGTATCATTACACTGTGCAGCTCATGAGCTCAGTAGATTGATGCAGAACTTTGTAACTTTGTGGTACCTGCTTCTGTAACAAAGCCCAAAGGGAAGTAAACAGAGATCTTCGTAGCATATTCTGTTCCCTAGAATGCCTCCAAAGCCTATGACAAAGATCACTAATTTGTAATGTTTATGGCTGTACTTCATATGACCTTGGTGGATGCCTTCCTGGATGCATTTACAAAGACATCTGTATGTGAGCAAATATTTATGTGTATGAGTAGTGCCTGTGTGTGGGTGCACAACAGCACTGTCTTACAGAATTGATCAACACTGAAAGTTGTAGCAAGTGAATGGCCACATTTCAAATTCATCTTAAATTAGTAATGCATCTTGTCTCTCACTCCAATGAGCCTATGGTGAGTTACGGGTCTTGTAAATATGTGCCTTGACAGAGCAGAAAAATTCTGCATGTATTCTCTTGGGCTGTTTTTCACTCATAACACGTATGGGCATTGATAAGTAATGTTCTCAATATTTTAAACAAAAATACCTTAAAATAACCAAAAGAAAGCTGGACAGTTTAAAGCAACTATTAAAAATAGAAGTATCATTTTTCCTTGTCTCTTTTAAGCTGGGAAAAAAAAAGTTTACTGAAATAAAACATTTCCCTGCAGTAATTGTAGAGTGCCATACAGCCGGTTGTACACCACTGCTAACTGGAGAACTGGAAAGTGTTTTAGGGAACATCAGACCTCTGCGACTCCAAGCTGTTAACTCCTTTTCAGATGAAGGAGATGGAGAAGTGATTTCCTACAGACTGCAAAGTGATCTGTCACAAATTCTCTCTTAAAATATAAAAACGATGCATGGAAGTTCTTAATGCTGCCATGTTTAATGTCATGTTGCTGGACCATCAATATGCAAAATGAACAGGAAGGAAATTTATGTCTAGAATCATGGGTGGTGTTTTTTTAAAAAAAAAAGCACAAACCACCCAACTATTAAAATAATTCAACTTTGTTCCTCTAATGAAATGTAAACTCTTTTTGGTGAACCATGCTGTTACCAGCTGTATGTTGCTTTATTTTTCCAAGTACGTGATCAGAAGTGCGCACATTGGAAGTTGCTGAATACTATTGTGCAGTCACTTTAAAGCAAGCAGAACGTGTCTGAGAATAAACCAGATCTTTTCAGCTTTTCTTGAGCATTTCTATGGAGTGATTTCCCTCCCATGCATCACTTCCATCTCCACAAAATAGCTCCTAGTCCTTTGCAGGTTTTTTTGGTCAGGCTGGCCACCATGGAAGTGCACCTCTCTCCTAGCAATAGCTGTGCCACTTTTGCATTAGGCTTCTGAGAATAAGCTACTTAAAAATCAGCTGGGTGCTGTCTGTAACATGGTAATGTATGGGATAAGCACCTACAACTCCTGTACAGGGAAATGCGTTATTGCAATGTATGGCTTGTGCAAGCACTGGGAGTGATGGCCAAGAGTAAAACCTTGCTGTTTGCCGAGGCTGTAAAGAGCTCATCAGTAGCGTGTTGGATAATGCCAGCTTGCTCCTTTCGAGATGTGCTACTCATATAAGAAAGAAGCTTCAACTCTTTTAATTCTGTTTGAAACCAAACACCAAAAAAGTACCTAAATTAGGAGCTGAGAGATCCTACACTCTATGCTTAGTGAAGATCTAGAGGCAAGCCAGCTCCTAAACTAAGTGCTTCATAAAGTGTCATAAATTCATAATAAGTTCATAAATTCATATAAGTTCATAAATTTGGTGAACTCAGACTTTGGAGGTGTGTTCTGCAAGGAGGAGTGGACTGGGTGGCACACAACCGTGCTGGTGTGCAGCCCGTGCTTGGTGCAGCTGTTTTCATCTTTTTTTTTTTAATGTATCAAGTGGTGTTGATGTGTTCCTTGATAGATAATGATATTTTATTTTCCCTCCCATTTTGAAGAAATTACTGGAAAAATCGTCAGATTTTTTTGAGCCATTTGCAAAACATAAGGAAATATGCTTGATAGAGCTTAATCATATTACAAGAGATTGTTACTTTAAAAGGCAAACTATTTTAGTTATATTGTGTTATTGTGCCATTAGTACCATTTGACTGCCGACTGTGCAGCAGCGGGGCTCCAATCAACGGGAGCCTTTGTGTGTTTTCCATTGCAAATGGTGCCAGGGATAGGGGGGAGAGAGGCTCTTAGTGGTACAGTTTTTCCAGTGATTAAAAATACTTGAGATCCATTTCAGTGATCAGAAATGCGTCTTAATGAGACAATTAGTCAAGCCATAAAAGCTGCACAGCAATTTAGTTGGCGTTACTACAGGAATAATTTGCTGCTGCTGTTTTCTTCCTCCTGATTTGACTTTATCACAATAGTCCAGATGAAAGTCACTGTAGAGAGGACTTGCAGGCTAAGTTCAGTTCTCAAATGGCCATGATTATCTGTGGGGCAGATAATCCCCTTAAAAACGAGGGAGATTTTGAGGGGAAAAAAGTGCTTATTTCACACATAAAAAAATTAAATGCCTTTGTCCAAGTGGCTACTCCAGTGCTTTCCAGTATCCACCTGCCTGCTAGTGCCATGGCAACTAATCACAGGTAGTGTCTGGGGAACGGGTACCAAACTGAAAGGGCTACTTCAAATTTGGATTTATTTTTCCTTTCTGTAACAAAAACACAGTAACGGGGCCTGTCCTTCTGCATTCTAGCCAGCTGTGTTCAGAATGTCTGATGAAACTAATTTTTTAATCTTACTAGAAGATACTTCATTGTCATATTAAAAATCTTATTTGTCTCTAGTCTTTCACAGTTTGGTCATAATATTACTCTAAAGCAAAGTCAGAGTGGTTATTCTCAACTCATATTTGTCTTGAAGTTTGCTGCTTCTCTTTCAGACCTGAAGCCTTGTGTTCCTCAAAGCTTGTTTGTATTTATTTCAGCTAAACAACTTCATCTATTGAGGCTTCATATCTTCATACAAAATTGCTGTCATTCCAACTTGGGGGTATGTCAGAAATGTCCTCAGGGTGATGTTACAGAGGGCACTGAACACAACAAAACTAGAACTTTATTTGAAGAAATAACCTAGTGACACTAGTGAACTCATCTGCCTGGAGCGTTTCCATTGATGTTCATGGCATTCCATGTGTTTAGGGAGTTTAGTCTTCTATTTTTTGAAGTAAATTCTGCCCAGAACTAACATTATTTAAACTAACTTAGTCTGGTTAATTTGTATTTACCTAAGAGGTCAATAAACAATTTACTGCCAGAGCAGAAAGCCATGTGTTGGTGTCCTGTTGACAACTGCAGTGGGGCGAGGTGTTTTTCCTTTAAGAACCTCCCTGTGCCCAAGGGCTGCACTGGGGCTGGAGGCTGGAGCTGGGCTGTGGTGCAGGTCAGGGACGCAGCAAGGTGTGAGCCAACTCACTGCTGTCTGGGGCAGAGCTAGAGCCAGGCAGATGCTGAAACCCAGGCATGTGTGAATGTCTGCTGCAGAGCGCGCCTTCGTTGTCTGTGCCAAGCTTCGCTGTGTTGATCTTCTCAACGTGGTCCAGTCTGAATGTTTTCACTTTCTGATCTTGTTATATCAGAGCTGTAAAAAGCAAAAGTGTTTCAGTCTTCTAAAGGGACAATACAGTTTCTGCTTTGCTAAACTTTGAGTACTTTTTTTCTCACTAAATAATACTGTTTTAATGTCTCTGTCATCTGTGGGTCATCAGTAAGAGGACTGTATTTGGCATAGTAATAGTGTTATTTTGACACTACTTTTGTGTTGCATCAGTATCGCATAAATGTGGTTTGGTTATTTGTGGCTATCTCCCTGCAGGTTACAGCTGGCTGGAGATCCCGAGTGCCAGGATTTGTCTTTGTTTTTTTGCTGGGCAGCTTGTCTCTTCTGCAGCCACACTAGAAACTGCAGCTTTGCAGCCTAGCACTCCTGAGCCTCAGCAAAAGCTGTGTTTCTTTGTTCACACCACTCCATGAGGGTGCAGAGACTAACCACTTCTTTATTTCATAGGTAATTATGGGCCAAACTGAAAATTGCTCAGGGCACCAGCATTCTGGCATATGATTATTTGCTAAGTGCTGAATTTACCTGAGTCTGAAGTGGTTTTAAAATGTAATTGATGTTGAGAGTATATGTTGACAAATCAGGAGCAAAAAAGAAGCTTCATACCCAAGTTATCAGGGTGGGAGTGTAGGTGGAATAGAGAGGAAAAGGCAGCACGGCTTTTGAGATACCTGGAATATCAGCTGTGGTAACAACCAGTTGGTTTGATCCTGTCCTTACGGCTATGCCAGCCTCTTTCTCTCTGCACCTCTGGGCTGTGTCGAATGATGCACGAATGTTCTCTGGGACATTTGCAAAAGAGTGGAACTGGCACAGCTGTATGAATATGTATGGGTTGATCGTCAGCCATTAATGACTTTGAAATGATTATCTTTGACATAGGAAACTCTGAAAGTTGAAAGAATGCAACATATCCAGGAGTTTCATTCATCTTTTAATTAAAATTATTAGAACTACATGCAAGCCACATCTATATGAATTTGTAATATTCAGTGTGGTAATGACTGGTTATGGAAAAGGCAGTATATTCTTATTTGGTTGACACATGGGTGTAACAAGTAAGATTATCTAGAGCTTCTTTTAGAGGCATAGAATGTAAAGAACTAACTGTGTCCTGATACTTGTAACACCTCTGTAATGCAAGTAAATTGTCTGACAGAAAACAAAGGTAAAAGAGAATGTGTCCCTGTAAATCGGTAAGCATGTAACACTGCTTTCCTGGCTGCTTCACAAAGTGAAATCAACTTGCCATCACCTCCTAAAGGAGAAAAACATGGCTTACAAAGTATACGCAAGTAAATTTATTCTTATCTGACACTTCTACTCCTTATCCTAGCACCTGTGTCCTTGGAGGAAGCTTGGCTGTATGCTGGTTAGCTGTATAATCTGAGATTGATTCAGCTTTGATCTGGACTTGAAACAGAGCAAAAAGCGAATGCAGCGGTGCAGGTGGATCAGACAGCAGAATGCTCATTAGCTGGTAGTTCACTGTCCAGCATTGGTCTAGGACTGGGACAAAAATGATGTGTATTGTTGGAAGCAGTTTCCAACTGGAACCTCCCAGTTCCTGGCCTGTCTGCCTTCCGTGCAGGAAGGTGAAACCAACCAAGCTGGTGGATGAAAAGCTGGACATGAGCCACTGATGTGCACTTGCAGCCCAGAAGGCCAATGACATCCTGGGCTGCATCACAAGAAGTGTGGCCAGCAGATCGAGGGAGGTGATTCTGCCCCTCTGCTCTGCTCTGGTGAGACCTCACCTGGAGTGCTGCATCCAGCTTTGGAGTCCCCAACACAAAAAGGACATTGAAGTGCTGGAGTGTGCGACGAAGATGATCAAAGAGCTGGAGCAGCTCTCCTACAAAGACAGGCTGAGAGAGTTGGGGTTGTTCAGCTTGGAGAAGAGAAGGCTCTGGGGGGACCTTATAGCGACCTTCCAGTACCTGAAGGGGGCTTAAAAGAAAGCTGGGGAGGGACTGTTTACAAGGGCTTGAAGCAATAGGACAAGGGACAATGGGTTTAAACTAGGGCAGGGTAGATTTAGATTAGACATTAGGAAGAAGCTCTTCACCATGAGTGTGGCAGATCACTGGAACAGGTTGCCCAGAGAGGTGGTGGAGGCCCCAATTCCTGGAGATATTCAAGGTCAGGCTGATGGGGCTCTGAGCAACCTGATCTGGTAACACTGTCCCTGCTCACTGCAGGGGTTGGACTGGATGACCCTTAATGGTCACTTCCAACCCAAACCATTCTATGATTCTAAGATGTGGTGCTGGAAATACCATTAGCCTTGGTTTTCTGCTTACCCTCCAAAGCTCCCTTTTCCCAGCCCTAGAGAGGCTGTTGAATAGCGGGGAGGTGAGAAGCAGTGGCTTTCAGCCTTTCTTAGGAAGCCACTTGAACAGGAGATGACAAGACTTGAACCCTGAACTCCTTGTCTCAGCTGCAGCAAAATATGATAAAAAATACTCTTTGTGAGGCACTGAAATGGTATTATCTATGTTTTGCTAGGGGTAGGAAAGCAAGGAGGGGAAGCAAAAAAAACCCAAAGAAAGGCCCAAGTAAAGAAAAGTATTTGCTTTTTTGAAAGGAAAAGGATGCCCTAATACCTTTGTGCACTGTAACATCAGTGGGTTTTCTGGCAGTTGTGTGCTGGTGCATGCAGGAGAGCCCCAAATGGTGCTGTTCTAAGCATGGCATTAACTCCCAAACCATCCTCTCTTCCTACTGTGCCCTTTAAACTGCCTCAAATAGAAAGGAGTTCAGAGCTTAGAAGTGTTAATGTTGACTGAAACCAGACTGTTTATGCCTTAGGAAGCACTCATTTCAAAATGTAACTGCTTTCAGTGAGAGAGTGCGATGAATAAAGCTCTGTACTTGCCAAAATGCAGGTCAGTGATGTTGCAGTGAAATGCAGTCTCTTCCCCACTGACCACCTGCTCTACAGCGTTCCACTCAGATATTTCTTCCAGAATAAGCTGATGTCCATCCGCCTGCAGGACAGCTGGAAAAGGGCGAAGCATCAGTGACCAGTTCTGTATTTGCTTGGTTTCCTGTGAACTCTCAGTATATCTAAGTTTTAGCACTTATGAGGGCAGGGAGCAAAAACCAGTGTTAATGTGGTTAAGTGCTGTACAAAACCCCACAGATCCTATCTCTGGCTTCGCTGTTATTACATTAATGGATTTCCTTTGAACCAGGCCTCCACCCTATGTCATTTCTGGTTCTAGTGGTAAAAAGCAAAAAATTAATTATGTACTTGTATTTGCTATTAACTGGCACAGCAGCTGTAAGAAATGCAGTGTATTTATTTGTAAGTATCATGGAGTAAGACTAAATTCAAAAGAAATCTCCAATAAATGCTAAGATGGTGCTATAGAACAGCTGGAACATAAGTGAACAACCTTGATAACCCAATTGTTCATTGACGCATAATTCATTTCGCTTCTGGTGAAAGGGTAATTCCTCAGGATGTTGAAGAGTTGAGATTTTGTGAAGCTGAGAAACAAACCAGAACAGACAAAATCCTCTCTTGACCCACATATTTGTTGAGATGAATTAGGTGCTTTTCAGGTTTATTTCGGTACATTGTATAGTGTTGTAAATTAACCAGAACTGGAGAAATAAGTGAACTGGCTGATAACACAATTCCAGCAACACAGAAATGCCACATGCTTCTGCCTTGGCCCCCAAAGATTTAATTTTTTTCAATTTCATCTTATTCTGTTGACTTGTTTTGCAAGGCAGAAGCAGATTCCTGTCTAGTCAAACATTCAAGGCCTCCCTCACCTGTCCAGGTATTTCTCAGCTATGTGTTCAGGCTGAGCCAGCGTACTGACCAACACACATCAGTTGTTTGGGCAGGTAGATGTACTGCTTCCTCTGTCCCAGTTCCACTGTAGCTGTAGGACTTGTAAGAGTTTCTCAAATGTTTAACCTAACTGCAGCTACTTGTGACAACTGTTTGCAGCATCTTAATTCTACTTACAGAAAAACTACTGAAAATGGCTGAAGAAGGAGTCCGGTTCATAAAGCAGCATGCTTTCAGCCTCTGCTGCCGTTCTGTCATCCTCATCTGACAGCTCTCACTGCGTTCCACAAAACTTTAATGGCAGCCTCTGACAATTAATTCACTTTTATAAAATGGATGAGAGAGATGACATCTCTATACTGTTGGCTCTAAGTGAAGAAAAAGAAACAACAACCTTACTAGATTCCTTAGGCTGAGGCCTGGTGTCTCTCAGTCCGTGGTAGATGGATTGCAATGACCTAGCAACCCCAGTAAGAGAATGTGAATAAGCTGCCAGTAGCCTGTATAATGCATTAACTCATGCTCTTTGTAAGTGTCCAGTATCAACCAAATAGTGATTTGTCTGATACTGAGATTATCTTTCTTTTTTTTGAGGTGCATCTGTGTGATCTAAAGCCTTTATAATCACAAAATTTTACTAATTTGAATCGTTTAGATCATACACATACAATTTGATTTATCTTGCGACCTTAGATAAATTTTGCTAGACAGAAATTTTTTTTATGTATCCTCTTACAGTTGGAAAGCATTAGTACAGAGGAAAGTTGTTGCTCATTCCCTAATATACGGACAACACCATTCCTTAATTCACGATGAACTGGAAAAAAATAGCTTCACCTTTTGTGGGTGATGCATCACTCCATCTTTAGGTATGGATAGTGAACTTCTCCAGCACTAGAGAACTCCCTAATACCCTGCAGCAGGGCTCCTTTTTGGTCTGCAGTGAGGCCGTGTCCAGCCCCACAGCAGCGCTCGGAGCTGCAGGCCCTGCTCAGCTCCTCACTAAGGGCTCCTGGATGAAGCCTGGGTAAGAGAGGGCCAGGGGTAGGAGAGAGCTCTGCTCCCAAACACCACACAGCTCCCCTTGAGTCTGAGGGCGCCTGCTATCTGTGTTATGTTAATTGCTGGGAAATATAGGTGGGCGGCGGGCAACAGAAGCTGCTTTGCTTTATGGTTAAATTTGAGCTTAAACGTTTTCATCTTTGTTACGAGCTTATTTCTGGCTGAAACACCTGTGTTCGTAATGAGGTTGTGTAATCGAAAAAGAAAAAAAAAGCGATACACACCGTAACACGAGCTTATTTTAGCAAACATCAACAATGGAAGTGTTTGCGCTTTCCGAGGCATCACACACAACTCCCCTCCCCTGCTCCTCGCAGGCCCTGCAGGTGCTCGTGCGGTCACGGAGCGGGGGCTGGCGGTGGTGGGGTCCGCCTCAGAGGGTCCCCCGCGGCGTGCGGCGCGGCGAGGGAGGTTGGGGGGCAAGGGGCTGTCTGGCACAAAAAGACGACACAATCGTTCCTCTGGTAGCTTTTATTTGCAGTGCGGAACTCCCTCTTTATATATAGAGACGAATTTGTGGTACCGTATGCTTCAGGCCATATATATTAATATAGACAGATAGATATATTTTGGTAGAGCACAAAACATAACAGAAACAAAATGTGCTATAAATACACATTTACATTTGTCATAAATCTATACTATTTTATAAAAATAAAAGTATCACTAAAATATTTTTATGTCTTCTACAAGTCATACACCAGAAGTTCAGCTGTAGTGTCCTAACTGTGTCCTGCTTAATCACAGATCACACAGGGGCTTTCGCACCACTCAGAGGAGACAGGTCAGGTCCTTACACCCTTGAAATACCACTGGTCTGAAGTTGCGTTTCTTTTGCTTTTATTCACCATGAATACAGAAGTTCACAAAAATCAGCTTTTTAATTTCTACATCCCATGGGGTACTGCCTGCATGTGGGTGTACATCTATGGAGAGAGTGAAACAATTACCTGCTTAAAATTCTCTTGCAGGGGGTTTGTATGTCCCGGGTCCCACCAAGAGGCCTCATTACAACGTTGCCACTTGGTACGTTAATGTAATTACACTTAGTCTGTCAACCTTTGATTCTGTGAACCAAGATTTTTTTCCCTTTTCATAATGAACAATCTATTCCATTGTCTTCTGGTTGGAAACACTTTTAAAGCTTCACGTTTGATTTACTTAAGTGCATGTGCACAGATTGTGTATTTTTAAACTTCAGAAGAGAACTTCATTTGTATAATACAAATAATTTTAAATAAATAACTAAGAAAAAGTACCTATTTCCTGAAATCTTTAATAGATGCAGCATGGGATCACAGCAGAATGGTACAGGGGATTCTGTTAACTGAGAAGCAGCACAGTCCCTTATGAAGCTCCTGCTGCCAAACCCGTGTAATGCCCTGTGCTGTGAATTTTATCCACTTGTAATTTACCAAGGACCCTCAAATTTAAACATACCTGAACCGAGTCTGAGGATTCTTGAACAAAGACAGGTACTTTGCAGATACTACTTTTAGCATGGGTAATGGCTAAGGTTAAGCATGTATGCAAATGCCTTCCTTAAGAGGGACTGAGTTCATTTCAGGTATTCAGGCCAAATACTAAAACCAGATCAGTGAGTATCTAACATAAAAGTACGGAATGGCTAGCTAGATAAATAGGAATTATGGGTGGTCACTGGTTTCTTCCTAGAGTAAAAACACATGTCAGTATTTTCCAGTGCTGTAGAATCTGAAACACCTGTTATGGCATCTGTAGACAATTAAGGGGCTCTTAATGATGAATTGGTATAAAACTTCAGGTGTGGTTGTAAATTCTGCTTGAATTCTCGGTGGCTGTGTTGAGTACAGTGTCTGACTGACTGCGAAAATTCCAGCCAAAAAAAGCAAAATTAAAACACAGGTAATATTTGTAAATAAACGTTGGTATCTATGGAACTAGGAACACAAAATAAAATTATATACTTCATTAGAAGCAAATTAATAAATAATTGAATAATTATTTACAGCATTTTTATACACTTCAAATATGGTTATAATTTTAAACATACAATTCTATGAAAGAATCTTGAGATTGTAGTGCTACGTTTATGCAGAATGCCTTTGTAGTGACATGAGACAGAACAAAGCAAAATTACTGGGAACGTTTCAAAGTAATTTTCATAATTATAGTATAGGAACAATTTAAAGTCATATTGTGAACAGTATATTCATTAAGTAAATATTTGCTTTTACTAACAGTTTTCTTGATTTATTTTTTTTTAAGTTTCTTTACATTTTAACTTGGGAGCAGCTTTTATGCCATAATATTATATATATAATCTAAAAATAGATTTCATCTTTGGTTTGAACTACAGCTCATGGAGTAATGAAACATACATATTTTTAAATGAATGCATTAACTTTAAAAAAATAAGCCCTGCTCTCAATCACTGTAAATCAATTGATTTGCTCCAATATACCTGACGTGCTCCGGTTGATTATCAGGCTCACTGTGCTTTCATACACGGGATTGTGGAAAGCCTTTATCCAGCAGTCTGCTTAAGTGCATGTATGCAACTCCAAAGAGGCAGTAAAATAAGCATGGACATATATAATTAGTGAATTCTTATCTAGAGTTCTTAGAAACTGAGTACTGCACTTCTGTTTTATTGTAATAAATCTGTTCTCCTGCTTTTAGGCTTAGGAGTGCTTAAGCACGTGATAGTTGAGCCTGCAAAGGAAGAGGAAATGTCTCCACTTCTCCACAGGCAACTGAGCAGTCCTTGGCCAGGCTTCCGAGCGCGCTCCAGCTTAACCTAGCAAAGGATCTGCGCTGCAGTTAGTAGGTACGTTTCTTTAGTCAGTGAGTACGTTGTATTCTAACAATGAGGACTGAACACCTCTGAGCAAGGTGACGTATTTCGGCTTGTGAGAAGGTAACTGAAAATACCAGTTCTCAGCAGGATTTGTAGGGAATAAAAGAGATGATGAGAAAACCCTCAGGATAACACTCTCAGAATAGGAGAATTACTAGATACTATATTATTTTCCTGATTGAATTTACTGTATGGTGCAGAATATGATGCCCTACATCTACTATTGAAAAACACAAAATATAAATCCCTTGCAAGTGGGATGATGCAAAGCTGATATGAGTACCAGTACTCTTAAACTGGTATTTATAGCT